CCCCCCCCCAGGACCCCCCTAGCTACGCCCATGCTAATTTGCCAAAGATGCATTTTTTAACAAATCTTTACGTAGGACTGATCGCTATATTGCATTTCAAGGAATTCCCCGTCTTCAGACCGGTAAATCAATTTGTTTTGAAAAGTTCACAGGTGTCACATGTTAGGTCGATATTAAAATATCGTTGAAAATTACCTTAAAATAGAAAAAGAGTAGTGGATACAGAATGTGAAAGCAATTAATTGAGTCAGTTGATTAACAGGGCACGCACAGTCTGGGTGATCCCTTCCTGCCTCCTAGTCCTATCCTAATCCATCCTGTTAATCAATTGACTTGCTGAAGTAATTATTTTTATATTTTCAAGGCTATTCTGTGTATTCTTTATTATTTTAACGTATGCTATTAATATGAATTCATTCAAATGTATAAGCGATCATCATTGAAGCGCTAGCGCACCTCTTAGATTTACTACGCGTCCTAAATCGGAGAATGAGTTTTCCTTGCTTCTTCTGCCGATGTATTTTTAAAAATGATAATAAGAAGTGCGAAACACATAAACTCCTCTGAGCTGCCAGAAAATGCAAAATCCACTCCTTTATCACCCGCGAGTTGGATTAAGTTTCAAGATGACGTTAAATTTGGACCTTTGATTAGGGCGTTGGCTGATGATATCGTTTGAATACAAATATACATGCTTAATGGATGTCCGTATTGCATATACGAAAACTGAAGGCGCTCTGACTTTCCTTTCCCACCTAAACATGCCTTTTCACAATACAGACCGCTGATTCGTTCAAATTGTTCCCTTTTACTCCATGTCTTATTCAAAAATATTAGCATGCAAACTTTTTTGTCTGTCGTTATGTCGTGGGTAAATGAAATTGTATTCGTTATTTGTCGAGAGCATTCGGCGAGAGATATCGGAGTTTTGCTTAGTTCTTTTACTTTTATTCTGTTTTGGAAAAGCGGTCAACATGAAGTTACTTTTTTCTTGTTGTTGGTATGGTCCTTAGTTTAATTTTGCCCACTTCTGTGCCAAATTAGCAGCGACTTTGAAGATTGAAAAGCTGAGCGATTTAATAATCCCACAGGAGTCATTTTTC